ACCAAGTAGTCTTCCCAGTGCATTGGCCATTGAGTCTGGATCAATATTAAAAGGCTGGGTTGCACTGCTCCTGGAATAGAAATGGAAAAAGACTGTCAGTATGACAATGTAGGCCTAAATAAATTAGGCTTGCAAGAATATACACATACCAATTTACAGCTCAGGGAGACCATTAAGGGAAAACTATGCTCATACTACATCCATATGGATATTAAAATCTGATAGATTTTTGGCTAAATATGAACAAAAATCAACAAGATTACAAAGTCACTTAGTCTCACCAGGGCAGTTCTGCACCTTCATGCGAAGACATGGCCTTGAGGAAGTTCTTCATCCCTTGACTGATAGCTACCAGGCTGTAACCAGCTTCCTCTTCCTCTATGTTGTCCTCCTTCTCCTTTCCCCTCTCTTCTGCATCCCCGGCATGCTGTTTCTGTTTGGTGGAACTTGAGTTTTGGCTGCCAACATCAGCTCTACCCCCACTTCTCTCCTGCAACAGCTGCTCCAAATCCTGAGCTGTGATATCCAGCCAGCTATCACCTGGAGGTTGACAAAGAGAAAAACTAATTATGGGAAATGGCCGTAAGAAAAAAATGGAGAGAATGAGGGAAGAATAACAAAAGGACAGACACTGAAAGAAACTGGCACAAGGCAAAGAATCTTAGGTGGCTGAGATAGACAAAGGCAATGCTCACTTTCTAGCAAGGTCATATTAAAGTTACAATGCTTAACAACTAACATACAAATCTTCCAGAGACAGACAGGTGTTCTTACCCTAGCTAGGAAAATTACACTTAACTGAGGTCTAAATTAAGTATCCCCACATTGTGCCTTCATGGATCACTTGGCAAATGTGACTAATGTCTTTCAGTATTAAGAAAGACAATTATTTACACTCACACATTATTTAAATAAGATTTTGCCAGTTTCTAGACATGATTTTCACTCACTGTCCTCTTGGGGGAGCTGTGACTCATTTTTCTTCATCTCCTCCAAGTTGAATGGTTCACAGCTGTGCAGCAGCTGGAGAACCTCCTCACCTGGGGACAAAGCACTGAGGCAACACACACACACACACACACACACACACACACACACACACACACACACACACACACACACACACACACAAAAGGTTCATTCAAATAGATATCTTAGATGACATTGGCATACATATTCACACTGTGAACAGCTTAAGTCTTTACCTTGATTTTGAGGCAACCGACTGTTTGAAGAAGTTTTCTGCTGATCTTGTAAGTTCTCTGTAACGTGCTGAACCTTCCAGTTCTCCCTGCATTTGACAACAGTGCAAACACATTTTTTAAAAATGCGCTCAAAGATAAATGCTGACTGTATTGCAACTTTAGCCATGTGCATGCATGAAAAAAGTGACATACATGGAAGTAGCCATTCCTACTCAAACTCTCCATAAAGCCTTTCCACTGTGGGTTACAACTGACTGGGGCATTAGGCTCTGATGAAGGCAGTCTGCACCTAGAGCACAGGATCTCAAAGCCGTGGGCCTGGGAGTACAGCATGAGCACAAGATTATGACTTTTACATAATAAAACAACCCTGTTATCTGCAGTACAAAGTACGAAGTACAAAGATAGATAATGAATCACCAGCTTCAAGCCAAGCTCATGAGCCTTGTATTGGGAATGAGAACGAGGAGGTAAGGTGAAACCACTCCTCCGGTCTGGGGTGAACTGTTGCTGCTGGAGCTGGGCATACAGGCACCGGGTGAACGTCACCTGAAAATATTTATTCAAGGTTAGGGGAAACAGATGCCCTCCCAAAAAATAAATAAATACAAATCACTAATTACAGTCCTGTACATAAAATAAGCATTTATAAAACAACACAGAACAGTTCTGAACAAAGATATTACCTTTTAAAAAGTACAGATATAGATGGATGTATTTACCAAAGTGAGGACTCGTGTATCAGGAGGAAACGTCTTGAAGGTTCGACACGCCTGCAAATCTACTGGATCCCGCAGGTAGAATGCTGAAACTGCAGGTGCAATGAGGTCTGGTCGCTGTGCCAACACAATGGCAATACCTGCAGGTATGAAGCAGTGGGCACGGTGGAGGCCAGATTTAATCTTCCCTGGATACCTGAGGGGAAAGAAAAAGAATATGTTACAAAACTGTATTCCTCTAGTACACAACAGTGATTCAGCACCCTGTATTCTGTTGTTTTAAATAGCCAATATCATGTAGCCAGTGCTCTCCCTGTCTATGCAGCTGGAAACCACAGAATCGGAATGCTCTATTTATCCCTAAGGAAACTATGTAACTGAAATAGGCTGAGTGCCAGTTGACGCATGCAGAGTAACTTTGTCAGTAGTATTTATCATGATGTTGCTTTTTAATATTGAATATTGATTATATGTGGAATCCCTCTTACCCCTCTAGTCTCTTCTTCAGTGCTAAAGAAATCTTGGAGCTTGCCCGACAGACTTCTGGGTGGGTGTAAAGTAGCTCCAAAGCTTGTGCCACACTGGGTACCACATCTTTTGAAAAGCCCACTGAAGTGGATTTAGATGGGCAGGGAAGGATATGCAACTCTCCCTTGTATAGAAAGACCTGAGAAAGAAAAGGAGTGGTGCAAAAAAGCCTACACTTAGCAAAAAATTGGCAGTGTCAAGTAAATAAAATTTAAAAGGGCTGTGCAGGTAAGTCTTTACATGTTTTCTTCCAAGCTTGTTTATTCCAGACTTGGTTTATTCCACTTAAGCATTAACTTTAATCAGGAAAAGTCAAATTGAAAACAAACAAAAATGAAGCATGATGATAAGTAATTCTATCCAATTGGGTGCATTGTAAGTCGAGCTTAACACGGAGTCAACATTACAATGAAATGTGCTTAACAAGATGAGGGAAAAAAGTCACCAAGCATCTAAAAATTTAACAAGATTTAAAAAATGAATAAACAACACTAAATCAATCTAAATTTAAAATTAAAATACTATTAGAGTCAGAAATAGAATTTTTAAAAGTCATAAATGGATACACATTCTTAAAATTATAGGCGTGCAGTATGCAGCATTACTACACATGAGAAATTGCGCAGTGACAAGTGTACGCAGTAGTGCCAGTGGGATTATTTAACCTGGCATGCACATTGCATTGCAGTAAAGTGTCAGATCATTTCTGTCCAAACTTGAAGATGACAATGAGATTAACACTTGACCAAACACTTGGTTGATAAGAAAGACTGTTCTTTAATGGGAAACAAGCAGATTAGTTGGTGTGCCAGATGGCTGTGATCCTCGATGATGTCATGGGCCGTATGCAGGTACAGTTGGAGGTAGATGCCCTTAATAGCTGGAGGGCTCTTGCCAGTCATTCATTACGGAATAAGCCTTTTTCTTTAAGCTCTGAGAGTTGACCGATGAGAAAGTCTTTACAGACAACTATTTTAAGCACTAATTAAATTTAACATTCCTGTTTTTTTATTTAAAATGAAAATTATTTTGACATACAACCCTTGTGTTGTGAATTGCATTTCAACGTATCAGTAGGGAGGTCTAAAATTAAACTAAAGCTTGCCTGGGGATCAGTTTATAACTGTGTAGTATGCTGTGGGAGGCAGTGAATTATTTGGGCTTAAACATACAGTGCTTCCAGTACTGTCAACTCTGCCATGTCATGTGGAAAACTCACCCTGTTTTCACTTGTGTCTGGATTCAGCCACTTAGGAAGGTAATCTGCTGCTTCAATCAGAAGAAACTCCCCATCATTATCCTCAACTCTGCACATATAAACAATTATTTTGGAAACAAAGACATAAATGACTGTTGAGAATTTTAATAGGGTGTGTTTATTTATTTATTGATACTTTTGTTTTATTATTTTGTTCAAACTCTGCTCTGAGTTTATAAATATTTAGAAACTATGATCAGGATCACCCTTACCTTGCTGCAAGCTCAGGGAAAGCCTCCGTGATTTGCAGTAGGAGAAAAACGATAAACCACTCGTCCTCAACATTGTCTCCAAACTGAGTGCTCCCACCAATGTGAGCAGGAATGCCTCCTGTGAATGAGATCCATACACGCCAGCCGTTAGTGTGTGTACCGAGTTTTAACCACGTAAAGACATACAGCATGCTGCTTCCTTTCTGAGGTGCTGAAAAAGCTCTACCTTTCTCAGGGTGATACTTGAGGTTGATTGGCTGATGCTGCCAGATGTACTGTATCAGAAGAGGGGCAACCTTTGCCAAAATCTCCTCTACTAGATGTGTCAGACGTTCCTCAGTCTGCTGTGAAGAAGAGCTGCCTGGCTGGATCAAAAAGAGCTTGTACTGGACCATGTCCTCCTCAATCATTCTCCTCTGCAGAGCTTCCATAGTAGCAGTTTTAAAAGACCTAATGAAAACATACGACGCCAAAGGGATGTGGAAAGACATATGAAAGGTCGGAAATGTCTGCTTTTATATTATGACTTTAAATTTAGATGGAAATAAAGAGAGGAAATCGTAGGCTTCTAGATAAACTCAACGTTTTACTAGTGATTGTCACGACAACCTCTTGAAAGCTTCATTCGGCCTTACCTTGTCTTGTCTTCCTTTTAAATTGGTTATGTTGTGTTAGTATATTCTGGAGCGGCTCTTATTACGGTTATTCCTAAATACGTTTCTTTCACGCCATCTGTAACTGTTTAGGTCCTACGACGAATTCCAGTCGTCCTCGCCAAACAGATAATAAACAGAGTTCCTACCTTCTGTTTCTTTAGCGGTTTTACCGATTCAAAAAATACTTTACATTACTTTACATAAATGCAAATTACATAATAAGTCTAATTTTCCACTAAATGTGATGAATACACATCTTGCGTTTAGTTAAAATTACAGGACCGGCGAATACATTTTATAAACGCAACTTGCTATTGCAATGAATGCTGGGAATTGAAGTATGCAGCCTTTGGCTTTCTAGAAACATTTAGTTGGCCTGAAATACATTTCCCGCGATCCCTCGGGGCAACAAAGCTGCGTATCCATGACACCCGCGTTATTTTTGTTGTTGGTGGTGATGCTAGCTTTAGCAAAGAATATCCTATGAGCTGGCGATAGCTTGCTCCAATAACGTTAAACACTCATTAAAAAAATATATATATGTATGTATATATATACATATATATATATATAGCGAGAGAAACGTAATTAATAGTGAACTTCTGGGCTACCTAATATGCTCATTTAGTAAACCAAGTATTATTTTATGAGGGAATGTGGAAATTCTATGATGCTATTTGTGCCTTTTTTAATAATCTGGCCACCCTCGTACCAGTAGCTAGCTTAGTTTTTTTGGACGTAGCTTAGCTGCAGCCGTTAAGAAACAGCGTCTCTATCCAGAGTATCTGCGGGCTAATATTAGAGGAAATGTCAGAGCTCCATCTGAACCGTTCCCTGAGCGTCCTGGAAGTGGAGGCGAGGAGGAGAGGAGAGGGTTTGAGCATATAAAACAGAGGCAAAGGAGAATGATTTCACGATACAACCGGAGACCTGTATCGCACAAACTCGAGATGTGAGTAGCTGACATAATTTCTTTATTTTTTTCCTTCCCTAACGGTTATTGAATGCGGCTATTATTCAGTGGAGGGGGGTTTGATGATTGACTGTTAACCTACACTAGTGACAGAAAGCGTAAAAATGGTTATTTGTGTTGATCGATGTGGCGATATTCCAGCTTGCCCGTGGTCTATTTTAGACAGATTCAATGTGAACATGGCAATCAGCTCATTTTAGTTGATTGTCACATTTTTATTTCATACCACCCACTCTATTTATTTTCTCTCCAGAGAAAGCTGTCAAGCCATAAGAATGAAATGTAGACATTTATTTAATGAGATTGAGTCAATAAGAGATACAAAACCAACACTATGGGCAGATACAATGGAATCAAGTGTAATCACAGTGTAATGTTTAAAAAACACATAATCTCCAGCTGTTTTCACTGGTGTCTGTTTTCTTCATGTCATCTTGTCATATTACAGTGCAGCGAAAAAATAGACAAATATGAGTAAATATTAAACAAAGATTTAGATTTCAACTAAATGTGAAATACAGTTTTTAAATGATTTCATTTATTGGGGGGGAAGCTATCCAAACCTACCTGCCCCTGTGTGAAAAAGTCTTTGCCCTCCTTTGTTATGCCATAAATTATCCACATTGTTTGGAACGCTGTGTTCAATTTCGCTAGCCACACCCAGGCTTGATTACTGCCAGACCTGTTGAATTAAGAAATAATTTAAGTAAGTGGGTGAAAAGATCTCAAAAAGCAACACACTGAGCCACAATCTACATAAACTCAAAAACAGCTGAGAAACAAATTCACTGGATTTTTTTAAATTCTGGAAATGGTGACAAAGCCATTTCTTAGGCTTTTGGAAAACTGCAGGCCTCGTATGTCTCAATTAAGATCAGTGTTCATCATTCAGCAACAACAACAAAAAAAAAGAAAATGGGCAAAAATGGCATGCAGGGGAGAGTTCAATGGCAAAACCCACTGCTGACCAGAAAGAAACAAAGCCTCATCTCGTTTGCCAGAAAACATCTTGGTGATCCCTTCATGAAGACTTTTGAGAAAAGAATCTTTGGACTGATGAGACAAAAGTTGAATGTTGTACAAGGTTTATGTCCTGTTTTATCTGGTGTAAAACTAACTCAGGGTTTCATAAAAAGAACTGCCAGCAACATTCAAACATGGTGGTGGTAGTATGATGGTCCGGGGCTGCTTTGCTGCCCCAGGACCTAGATGAAGCATAATTGATGGAAATATGAATTCTGCAGCAGAACAATAATTCGAAACACACCAGCAAATGCATTCTGAATGGAGGTGACAAATTAAGGTTTTACAGTGCCCTAGTCAAAGTCTGAACTTAAATCTGATTGAGATGCTTTGGCATGACCTTTCATGCTCAAAAAACCACCAGTGTGGCTGAGTTATGACAATTCTACACAGATGAGTCGGCCAAAATTCTTCCCTAGTGAATTTTAAGCATTGCCTGTTATCGCAAACACAAACTCTAAATTGCAGTTCTTGCTGCCAAGGGTGGCAAAGCCAGTTATTAGGTTTTACCCATACATCCATTTAAAAACTCAATGTTGTATTTACCAGAGTTATTTTTGTCGAATCTTAACATTTGACTGATGATCTGAATCAGCCATTAGGAAGGATGGCAAATAGTTTTCACAGCACTGTATATGTGCCATAAGTTCATCAGTGACTATAATAGGGACTCTACATCTGATTCCTTTAGATCCATCGTAATCTGCTTTGACCTTATCATTCCCTTTTATACAGGCTGTGTTTCTCATTGCACAATTAATTTTAATAAGACTCATGGTAATGGAGCTTTTGCACACCTTAGTTGCATGCATGCTTTTTTCTATTGTATTTCAACACAGTGTTCAGATTCAGACTTGGTAGTTGGAGCTGACATATTAATATCCTTCCCTAGCATCCCAAAATGCAATTGCACACTCTTTTGTTGATTGCTTTTTCACTGAATGCTCTAAATCTGTCTTTATTGCAGTCGTGGGTTGTCTCGAAGCAGCCTTGACCACCATCCTCTTCCAGAAGAAGCAGACGACAACCAAACCCCTCCGTGCTACCTCCATGACCTGCAGGAAGCTGCTTCTGCGCACAACAGGTAACTGAGTCCTGGTCATTCTGCAGAAGGACTCACACGCCAGGCTTGGGGTGGCTGTAGCTCAGGTGGCAGAGCAGGTCAGCCACTAATCAGAAGGTCGGTGGTTCGATCCCAGGCTGCCTCCTGCCTGCATGCCAAATATCCTTGGGCAAGATACTAACCCCGTGTTTGCCTACTGGTGGTGGTCAGAGGGCCCGGTGGCGCCAGTGTCCGGCAGCCTCGCCTCTGTCAGTGCGCCCCAGGGCAGCTGTGGCTGCAATGTAGCTTGCCATTGCCAGTGTGTGAATGTGTGTGTGAATGGGTGAATGACTGAATGTAGTGTGAAGCGCTTTGGGGTCCTTAGGGACTAGAAAAGCGCTATACAAATGCAGGCCATTTACCATTTGTTACAGTATTGTATTGAAATCTGTGTGAGAACAAAGACAGTGGTACTTAAGAAACTCTGTGCTCAAATAAGTGCCTAGAGTATGTTACAAAAATGACTGCAGAGTAGTCAAGCCTTGCTTCTTGGCTGTTATGTAAGCAGACAAACCTAAGCAACACCAGAATAAGGCTGAAATAAAACAGCCTGCAACAAGTCACACATACACACATTCTCATGCTTGTGTATTTTGTAATGTTACACCATCTTGAGCAGACAACTGATTCTCAGGGCTCTTGCTATGTGACACCCAGAAGCAGCGGATTAATTCATATCACATTGCCTCCTTCAGATGCGCAGTTAAAAGAATAAAATATGAGGCAGCCTGTTAGAATATTCAATTGCCTTGACATTTGGCCTACACTTTCCACCTTGATAATATCAGCAGCTGACACCAGTTCGATTCCCTCAGCGGAGTAACAGAGGCTTATTTTTCAGATTATACAAGTTGTTGGTTTCTTCCGTTTCTTCTGGTACAAGAAAAACTGATGAAAAGAGAAATCGTGTGTTGAAAAGGAAGAACGAGTGCTAGAAACACAGGACACTTCATATAGGGCATTTGGTTCTTCACATTGATTTTACAGCCAGGCTACATAACGGTTTTGTCTTTGTGCTTAGCTCAGAGACATCTGCTGCTTCAGGCCACTCTCAGTGCCCCACTGTCATCTCAGTAGACTCCAGCCAGTCCTGGTTAGGTATTCACAGCTCCACGGGTACTGGCATCTCCACCGAGAGGAGCTCTGTTTTCTCCTGGGGCTACGATGTAAGTCTGCTCACGAGAAAACTGTTGATGCCAGCCTGACTCTGTCTGTAAAACAAAGGATGTACACACTGTGCACACTAAAACACTAGATATGTTGATTTTCTTCTTTTTTTTTCTGTTGTCTTATTATAGACACAAACACATTGCTGCAGTCCTGTGTTAGATTTTCATTTAGTCACTAACATTTGCCTCTTTTTCACAAATTTGTGGAAACATTTAGAAGAAGACAGATGAACACAGTATTTATATAGTATAGTGGATGTTTGTTTGTACACACAAAGTCTGATTCTGCTTGACCAAGCTGTTTCTACAAAACTTTTTTAGGACTCAATGATTTATTTAGTTTCTTTGTCCTCAAGTTGCTTCTGAGAAGCAAAAACTCTCAGTTAAGAGACATCTTTTAAATATACATCGTTCTCCGCCCTGACCTTTTTTTATGACATGAACAACTTGACACTTGAATGCACCTCAAGAGAGTAGGAGCTAATTATCATGCACGTTGTTGCTTGCATTGAATAGCGATATGTTGCCAGTAAGTAAAATGTGGGGAGTTTTAGTCGTGAAGAATAACTCTCTTTCCTGTGTTCCTGTTTCCGTCCCATAGGAGTTTGACAAGGCGGCATCACGGCAGGTGCAGCAAATGTTTGAGGAGATCGACAAAGATCTTTATGAGGGAAGAGGCAGTGGGGGAGGGATACTCCAGGGGCTCCAGGATGAATGTCAGCAGTGGGCCACACGTTTCCCTCATCTTCGGTATTTAATCCGCCGTCTCCTATCATCTGCCAGCCCTTTTTTTAAATTCCCAATGAAATGGGGCAGCAGTGGGTTCAAAGACTAATTCTGATTGTGGAGAAAAACCTGTAAAGGTGTTCCATTCTTCTACAGAATCACACTTGTTTTACATATTCATTGTGTGTGTGTGTCACTCAGTATCCTGGGGACTCAGCTGCTGTGTCCCAGTGATGAAGGCTTCCAGTGGTATACTACCTCAGGGAAAGGCAGCGCTTCCAGCAGGCTGTCAGCGGGCAAAGAAAGCAGCGTTAAACCCCAGGAGAAAGACAGGGAAGGAACAGAGTAAGTCTCAAAGTCTCAACTCTGCACTGAGTCGATACATAAGGTTAGAGATCACCTGTTGCATCTCTCTCAGATATACGAAGATATCTCTGCGTGTGTGAGTGGTATCTCATCATCTGATCTAGCGTTATCTTGGAGGGTGGAGTTTAGATAGTATCTTAGGCTGTTATGTTTGATTTGTGTCCACATAATTATGGCTGATATGTTATCGCTTTTATCATTCTTGGCTGAAGGAATGTCAGACGTTACTCAGAACAGCCTGTCACTGCCGCTTAAAATGGACATTATACTTTGTTTTATCAGTCAGTCTTCAGCTTATACTCTGAAACAGCAGAGACAAGAATTATCAGCCATTATTGTCAATAAACTCTGTTAACACTAACTAACTATGGAACAGTTTACAGCAGTTATGTATGTTCAAAGCCCAAAAGAGCCATAAGTTGCTTTATTATTTAAAGAAAAACTGCAATGCCTCTGTCTGTCTGTCTTGAGTGGATGTTGGCTGTCCAGATTACTCCTGTTTTTGCATCAATTATAGAGGAGTCCTGGCTGACTCTGGTTTTGTGACCTAGATCCTCTGGCTTTTTAATTAATAATCTGAGCCAAAGTCATGGTGGGTATCATGGTTCTGAGAAAATGATGCTTTGACTCACACTTTTAACTGATAGACTAGTAGGAATTAGGCTGCTCTGCTATCTAACTAGTTTTTCCGTAAATCGAGTTGATATAAAAGAGATTAGATTAAGCCTGTTTGTACATATTAAAATTATGTTAATTCTACTTTTCAAGATGTGGTTGTCTGCTGAATTTGAGGGATTTAGTTTTTATGGAAATGACCTTGTTTAACTAAGTCTCGTCTTCTCTTGGTGGGGGTAAGGTTGAATGTGCAGGGCCGGAGAGCACATCTGATCAGATCCAATTCACCAGACTTGGACGCTCAGCCTGGTACCTCCAGCGGCATTGGCAGCCATAACAAGAATAGAGTGACTGAACTAGAGGGTCAGATGGAGGAATATCTTGCTTTTGATAGCACAGACTTGTAAGTTACTCTGTTTTCAGAATTGCTGTTTATGTGTTGTTCATTTTCTTATAAGATCCTATTTCTGCAGGGAGGATGACCAGTGGGAACAGGATTGCTCCGAGTCGAGTCGGAGGCATAAATGTCTGCCCCCAGTCTCACCATACCGGTGTCGCCGCCACGCTGTTCTCGATCTGCTGTTTGATGATGTGTGGTGGCAGCTCATTGGCTGCATGAAAGAGCTGGTTCAACGCCACTGGGAATGCTGCACTTCACGTAGGCTGAATTTGACTGGTTTGCATGCGTTACGCTGAACTCTAATTAACAAATCGACATTCTTATGCACAACAGTTTTAAATTTGTCATTGGCAGATGATGAAAATATTTCTGGGAACTTGAGCCCCGTGCAGCAAGATTTCCAGAATCCCTTTATGCTGCTCTCCACGCTGCCCACGATGCTGCCCAAACTTGGCCAGAGCCGGGTGCCCCCACTCACAGCTGGCATGCAGTTCCAGGTCAGTGGTCTGAGGAGTAATGGGAGGAACCGGGGTGCGTCTAAGGGAGTTCAGACTGTGGGCCTCGTTTCACTTTCATGACTATCAGGAGGGTCAAAATTAAAAATTTTTTTCCTTTTAGTAGATGCCATCAAACTAAGTGACTATGTTATAATAGAAGAACATAAATAGTTATAGATTTCCTTTGTATATTTAAAAAAGTGTCGCTATTATGTGGCGCCTTTTTCACTTTAATAATGACAATGTAGTAATTGAAAAGAAGTCATTTTAATTGGCAAGTTTAGTCTTATAGAGTTAATGAATACATTTTTTGTATGGATTGAGGTAAGACTCATTTTACCTAGAGTCATATGTGTCTCCTCCAGAGTTCACACTTAATTATTACCTCTGCCTGTTGCTCTTCACTCTTTCAGCGCTTCCAGTTCATTAACTGTTTTCTTTTCTTCCCTCTTCACTTTCCACTCTTCACCATGCCAATGTATTTTGTCTTATTTCATCTCTTTTGGTCATTCTTTTTTTATTTTTTTATCCAATTTTCTTCTGTTCTTATTACCCTCTTTCTCACTTACACTTCTTCCTTCCTTTCCTTTCTATCCACTGTCTCTTTCTTTGGACATGTCCTCTTCTACTCTCACTTAAAGAACACAAAGTCAAGGGGCTCAAAGCACAAGTCCAGACGGAAATCCAAAAAGCAGAAAAGGCCTTCCAGTGTATGTAACTCCCTCACTTAGAGCCAAAATGGTGGCGTGCTGTGTGCATGCCGTCCACAGCGGCTCATTATCTTTATCTCTAGATTAAACGTGTTTGTGACTGTTGATTAACACTGAAGCATCGCCATCTGTTTATCTTTTTCATTAACTGCAACTTACTTTAAACATGTACAAGTTTAACTGTAGTTAGAGCCTTCCTTTTTTAGGAGAGTGCTGGAATGTATTATTTTGCTACTTATTGTTTTTGTTGCATTTTTAGTGTTATGACTGTTGTCTTTTTGGTGTCATAGCAAATATGGGGCCCTCCTTACATCACTGCATGACGAATAACCATTTCTTGGCAATTTTTCTGCACTATACATATGGAAACAACTAGCCCTATTAGCCTCTTCTTATATTATGTGTTTTGTCCCCTCCTATCTCCCTCCCCTCCTTGACCCCTTAATCATTTCCATCTTTTACTTTTCATCCCATCTGTCTCATTACTATCTGTCACTCATCTCACACCAAACCCCAGGCTGGAAGAGTCCCTGTAGGAGCAGCCGCGACTCAGCACAACCTGAACGACCTCATCGTGATCCACAGCATCCCCCTTCAGCAGAGGAACCTGGGTGTGCCGGATAGAAGCCAGTATGATCACATATTACTGTCTTAACCTGTGAGCAGTGGCTTTAAAAAAAACGAAAAAACGAAAAACAAACAGGGAAATTAATTTTAGCACAATTCTGAATTCTAATATGTGATTTAAATCTTTAACTCAGAGAGAAAAGAGACAAAGATATCTTGCAGTTTTCCATTTACTGAAAAACACATTTTGCAGAACAAGAGGTACAGAGCATCATTCATGCAGTGTTTTTGTCCCTGGTCCTAACACCTTGTTTGGCAGAGTCCTCAGCCAGTTGGCTGGTTGCAAACAGACTATTCATCGAACGTGTTTTGCTCTCTTTCCTTCCCACTCAGGGAGCCAGAAGAGCGTGCGTCTCACAGACCGAGATCTAGCGCGGTCCCCTCCAACAAACCTCGCCCTCGCCGACCCCTGGAGCAGAGCTCTTCCTCGCTGTCCCGCCCAGCACAATCGGCCCGACGCAGGAACCCTCCTCCCCGAACCCTCCTGCCTCTTGTTCCCAATCCGAGTCAGTCGAGCGCAGTGGGATCCATGGATGAGGTCATCCGCGGGACACGTCTGTGAGTTTTAACATCACGAGAACCCACCCCAGTTCCTACATTGCTCCCTTTTTCTCTCCTCATTCCCTCCTACACCCTGTGAAGTTTTGCAGATGTAGAGAGAACTTGCCTTTAGAACAGACTCCATTTCAGCTTATGGCTGTGGCAGTGCCACATGCAGGACTCAGCCTGTTGTCAGATGTTGTCGGGTAGTGAGCTTCCACACTGACTGACTAGTGCTTGATTGTTCATGTATAACTATTGTGCAGCATATGAAGAAGCACCCAGTATGTTGGAAAATCAGAGTGTAAACTGCTCTCTGGGATGTCAGACTGATTTCAGTTTAGTTCTGTCTGACACATATTTGTGGCTGCTTTCAACAAACTTGATTTTAGAATAGAATAGAATAGAATTCAACTTTATTGTGATTGCACATGTCACAAGTCCAAGGCAACGAAATGCAGTCTATGTGCATCTAGACAATAAATAGCCGTGCACATAGGGCCCAGAAAAGGTAAATTAAACTTTAGGCCTTTATCCTCTCTTCTATTATGGGTTTAACAGTAACCCCTCTGAAATCTCTTTAAAAAAAGGGGAGCTATTAATGAAGCATGGATAAAATGACAAAACTGTCTTCATCCACACATCCACAGACCCACAGCCAGTGACCAACTGAACTCTCCACCATTGCCTCTAAGCAGAAACACACTCCTTCCGCCCATTAGCACCGGAGACCCAGACTCATCTTACTCAGGGCAGCCATCTAAAACTGCACAGGTACAGGCACTCTCACCAAGTAGATAATTAAGTAATGTGCCAGTAAACCTAGAGAGAGTGTTTTATGAATGTAAATAAAGCCAGACAGTCAACTTTGTGCCCTTTTCTCTTTTTCTTTTTTAAAATATCCCTCCAGCGCCAGAAGGGCCCATCTAGCCGTGCCCACAGTGCTATAAATGACAAAGCTGGCAGCTCAGTTCCGAGGGATCGCCACCACCTACTGGACGTTTTCTCTCGCCCCAACACAACCCACACTTACAGGGTGAGATGCTGGTTAATCATCAGAGAAAATACAGTCATTTCATTTCTGACTCCATAGAGAAGCTGTCCTGTAATGTTTTTTTATTTTCCAGTAATTAGATTGTAGATCGGGTCACAATGGCATCAGTAACTCTATATTATTCACTGGTATGGTTAACGTTCTGAATTGTAAGCATGCTTGATGCCTCACTTTGCTTTCAGTCAGATACTCCATACCGTCGATCCTTCACAGTATTGGACAACATTGGGCAGGGGCGGCCAGGCAGAGCCTCTGTGGGCACAGGTCAGAAATTCAGCCTGAATATTTGAAAAGAAACCATTAAAAATTTTGATGTGATGTACTGCCCTGGTTACCGAACGCCACTCTGTAAGACTATATCTGCCTCTTCGACTACTCATGTTCAAAATATGTTCATTTAAAGTTAAATAAAAGTTGATTTTATTGTTTAAAAAAAGGCTAATACACTTCTGTATGTATGCAATCCCATTCATTTCACTGCTACTTTTAGCTCTGTTCTATTCATTCGTCCTTTACTGTTCTTCTAGTTAAGTTTTAGCTAAGCAGTATTGTTATCAAACTGCTTGTTATAGCGGACTCAGTGTGTGGATATACTTCAATAAAACAATCATTTTTATTTGCTCTCATAGTTCATAACCTTCAACAGTTCATCCTGGGGTAAAGTGAATCACTGATACTGTGAGCTAACACTCCTGCTTTTCTCGGCCCGTTTCCTGTTTTGAACATGCACTTTAAGGCGCGTTTCGTAGCACATCGCCTAATAACTTATGCATTCATTTATTCCTTCATTGCACCAGACTCCCTTGGAATCGGTGTGACGGGCATCAGTCTTGGCATCAGCAGCTCGTCTTTTTTGGACTCATTTTCCCACCACCCCTTGGGGCACTCGCCCATCAAAGACGAAGAGGAGCCGGACCCGCAAGCCCCTGTCCCAGGTCAGTAGATTAAAGTGGCTGATGAAACTCTTTCATACTCGGGCCTCAGAACTGAACTATAAATGCGGGAGATTGAAGCAGCAAGTACGGTTTTAAGGTTGTTTATTAACTTAAAATTATTATAATTTTTTTTTTAAATTCTTCCTCTCAGCTCCACTGGTGCCTGCGTCAGTCCCGTCTCGGTCTCACACCCGAGGAGGCATCTCATCCAGAGGCAGCAGACCTGGCTTGTAGTTTGCCTCTAAACTCCAGACTTTTGAGCCACTCATCCTTATTAAAGTGCAACAAAGTGCAATGCTCTGCAGCATCCGTGCCCACTGAACTGTTTTGTTTTACAGAAGTAGCAGGTTCTTTTTTTCATATTGCGCTGCTTTTGTAATATTTTTGTTAAAACCCTATTTTTGTATTTCAAAAATCAGCTTATGAGGCTGCCAAACAGAAATAATTATTAACAATAACTCCATCTTCATGTACAGTATGAGCTGCATATTTAGACCTTAGTTCATGTATGATGTAAATATGTATATATCTATTTATATGTGAACGTACTGTATATTATCCTCTGTGCTGCGTTGTTGTACCAGGAACCCACTATGCAGGGAATAACACATTCATCCCGACAGGATTACAGAGGATAAAAAGCACTTTTTTTCCCTCTCTGAAGCTAAATCAGAGAGTTTGGTACTGTATCTTTTATAGGGACACGACAAGCATTTATCCATAGCCTCTTTGCATATCATCGTACACAGGAAGGAAAACAAAAAGACGAGCTTATTTTAAATCACGAGAGGGGCTGTGGGTTTTAAACTGCATGACACGACAGCAAAAGGAACATAAGAGGCAGTGATATTAAACTTTATTTGTAAATAGCTTGTCACGTATGTACAAAACATTTTACGGGATGTAACGTTTTTAAATCTAAGCTAAGCCAAGCGGGGGTGCTTTGACAGGTAACATCAGGGTTACTGCAAAAAGGTAAATTTATATGTATTCAGGATCATTTATCAGACAGCCATGCCACAAAGCTTGAAAAAAAAAAAAAGTCAACAATTTTCTGCAATGCATTTTCTTTTAACCTGTTTTATAAAAATAAATAAACAACGCTGTGAAGCAATGATGTGTTACATAACTGGATTTATTTGGTTTTTTTGGGTCTTTTTTTATTTTTTAAGATTAACAGAAAAAACAAATGAGACAAAATACAGCGTCACATAAAAGCTACTGAGGCTGATCATTTCAATGATTACAGAATGCAGCTGTACAACTGTGTATATGAATGTTCTTCCAAAGTTGTTTGTTTTGTGAATGTGGTTATCTTCCAGAACTTACATACATTGTATCTACTAATATTAGAACATTTTACTTTTTTGCTTTTTTTCCTTTTTGGGGTTTTGGGGCACTTTTCTTGGAGTATTTTGCTTCCAGGTCAGACAGGAAACTGTTAAAATTTTGCTCTCTGGACTGCTGTCGTTGCTGCAGAGTAGGAAACAAGAAGAAAGCAAAGTTAGTCAGAGGATAAACAAGCTATACCCCTGAAACTTTCTAACATCTGCACATGCATTTGTCACCTTAAGCATCATCACAAGACTGTCATCCTGGTCGTCCAGCCCCATCTTTTTCTGCATTTCCTCTGCTTCTTGGCGCTCTCTATCAGCCTGCAAGGTTAGGTGCAATCATTAAGCTCAAAGACGCTGGAGCCTTATCTTTTGTACTCATTTCTTACAAATTATTAGCAATGATTAAAGTTTTACAAGTACTTTTGGCCATCTAACAATCATGGCAAAAAAACAAAACAAAACCCTGCACATAAGTTGTGATTCAACACCAACACATCTCTCACCCTCTTCCTCCGGGCCCTTTTCTTCTTCTCGGTCTCATGAGTAAAAGCTGGGAAGGCTGTTACTTCGCCACTATCGATGGCATCTTGGATCATGCTGCACAGCCTGGGCTCATCTTCTTGGGAGCAGCACAGAGCTGAGGCGGTGATGGCGTCCATATCTCCCTCGTGCTGTAAGTAAAGCTTGATCACATCCTGTCGCTCCTCGTCAGAGCCCTTGTACGTCTTCTCAAACTCAAGTATGTCCTGGACTGTGATCTATGAGGTGGGTGGAAAGACAGCATGTTGTGAAGACTAATATGAACATTAATGAATTAATAATAAAACAAACAAACAAATTGAAATATATTATGCTTGCATCAATTTACTATTATGCATAGGTGTAGTCTGACCATATATTTGCTGTAACCTCCTCCTCTAAGTGACTCGCTTCAGGTGTCACATCATCCCAGGACACAGACAGACAAACAACATTCACTGTGACTCATTAGTGAGTCATGTTAGTGAAAAAACAAAAATCACTCTGTGCTCTGGTACCTTTGGGAAAAGCAGTCTCCAATAGTCTTCCCAACAGCGGTCTTGCTTCAGGACGTCAGACTCTTCATCCACCACTCCCTGCTCATCGTAAATAGCCTTCTGCTCCTTATCGCTCAGCACCGCGTACAGCTTTCCCAACACCTGTAGGGACATTTCACACCAAAATACAACTCTTACTGAAAACTATGGTATTACACACTGATTTAGAGGTGCATTGAAACACTGATGAACTGAGGCCATCACTTGATATTAGTCTGTAAAATGCCGCACCTATATATACATATACGAACTAGACAAGAGACATTTGTGAGATGCTGCCACAGCCTTTATATTATAGGCATTTTCATATACCAAAATAAATCAGAGCTTCTTTTGGCAGGCTCTAAATCATAGGTGTCAAACTCTGGCCCGCGGGCCAAATTTGGCCCGCAGCCTAATTACATTTGACCCGCGAAGCCATACCAAATTACTATTAGAGCTGGCCCACTGGTATTATACAGCTAATATATACATTGTTTAGTATTAAGCTTTGCTTGTTCCACATTCAGTTTTTCAGCAAAACTTAAGTTTGAGTCCATAAGAAGAGATTAATTCTTAAATCTGGAGGAAGATATTTTTCAATAAATATTAATGTTAGCCCGCGACCTTGTTCTAGTTTTGAATTTTGGCCCACTGTGTATTTGAGTTTGACACCCCTGCTCTAAATCAACATTATCCAGAACTAATAACTTCTCTGTTACTATCAATAACTCACCGGTCTCTGTTTCTCCATGTGTGAAAAGTTTGGGTGTCATCCTCGACAGTACTTTATCTTTTAATTCACACATCAATAATGTTATTCGGTCTGCATATTTCCAATTGCACAACATTAATCTTGTCCATCCTTTTCTCACTCCACATGCCACTGCTATTCTTGTTCATAGCCTTGTTACTTCTCGGATTGATTACTGCAATTCACTTCTTTTTGGTCTCATCCAAAAGTCCATACATAAGCTTCAACGTGTCCAGAACTCTGCTATTATCACAAGGACCCCATCTATTTACCACATCACCCCTGTCCTGCAATAGCTTCATTGGCTGCCGGTCAAATATCGCATCAATTTTAAAATACTTTTGTATACATGTAAGGCTATTCATCTTCTCTTCCCTCCATATCTCGCTGATTTGGTTCAGATCACCATTCCAGCTTGGCGTCTTAAATAATCTTCTTCTCTTTCTCTCTCTGCCCCCTCCCCCCGCCTCGCCACTATGGGGAGCAGGGCTTTCAGCTGCTCTGCTCCTCGACTTTGGAATTGCCTACCTCCTGATATAAGAAATATTACTTCCTTTTCTCTTTTTAAGTCTAGATTCAAAACTCACCTGTTCAAAATAGCTTATCCCACATAACCTTTTCCATTCTGCTATTTTAAATCTGTTTTATGTTTTGCATTATATGATTTTGTAAATTGTCTGCTTTTATGCTTGTTTTTATTATTCTGCTGTGTGCAGTGTCCTTGAGTGTTCTGAAAGGTGCTTTAAAATAAAATTTATTATTATTATTTAAAGTCATTCATTAATTCATTATGGTCAATAACTTCCAATACCTTAGCAAGTGCCTTTACCTGACAACACTAAATTAACAGTTTTGTTGCAAGAAGTATTTGCCTCCCCTGTTTTCTGTCCCCCCCTTCCCCTTTCCCCCCCATATCACTGACATTTTTTAGATCACTAAACACATTTTGATATTAGACAAAACCCAGATAAATACAAAGTGCTATTTTAAATACTTTTATTTTTGGAATTCAAGCCGATCCAAACCTATATGGCCCTATGTGAAAAGGTAATTACCCCTAAACCTAATAACTGGTTGTACCACCACTGGCAGCAAGAATGGCAATCAAGTGTTTGTGATAACTGGCAATGAGGTTTTCACATCACTGTGGAGGCAATCTGGCCCGCTCTTCTTTACAACAGAAGTGTTTTAATTCAGCCACATTGGAAGGTTTTTGACCATGATCGGCCTTTTTAATATCATGCCAAAACATCTGGATCTGATTTAAGTTTGGACTTAAACTAGGCCACTGCATAATCTTTGTTTTTGTTTTTTCTTTTTGTCTCTGCTTGACACATTCCCCTTCAGGACTTTCTGCATTTTCAGAATTCATGGTTCCATCCATAACAGCAAGTCATTCAGGTCCTAAACCAGCAGCGGCCATCACAATAACGTCATATCATACTTATGAAATTATGTCTTCGTTTTACACCCTGATGTAACTCAAACCAAAAGTTCAACTTTGCCTAGCGAGTCCACAGAATATTTTCCCAAAAGGCGTGGGGATCATTACAATGTTTTTTGTTTGTTTTTTTTGCAAATGTGACATGAGCCTTTGTGGTCTTTTTAATCAGTAGTGGTTTTCGCCTTTGAACTCTCCAGTGGATGTCATTTTTGCCCAGTCTCTTTCTTATCATTGAATCATGAACACTTACTTTAACAGAGACAAGTGAGGTTCGTTAGATGTTGTTTGGGGTTATTTTGTTTTACCTCCTGGATGAGTCTTTGATGGGAAGGTTCTGTTCCACGTTTTTTCCATTTGTGGATAATGGCTCTCACCATAGATGTGAGACTTAGTTTCTCAACTGTTTCGTTTAGCCTGCTTGACTTTCTAAGACAGGGTTCTATTTGAGGTAGTAAGCAAAGTGTTGAATTCAGTTTACAGGGTAACTTATATGTGGGATATAAATTACCTAACGAGTCTGTTTTGCACCTGAATTATTGTGAAAATTCAGTATCACTGGGGGATGCTCAAAACATCTCTGTAATCATGTAGATACCACAAACGCATGTCCAAATCCCGCGACTGGATGCTACTGGGGTGAAGTCTGTGATGGCACAGTGCGAGATTATTCACGGCAACTACAGTTAGCTGCGTTAGCTAGCTCGCAAGCCTAGCTTAATCTCTGCGTGTATGTGTGTTGTCACAACAACAACGAGAGTTCACCTGAAATTTCTCTGTGGCCAGCGGGTCGTCAGGAGCCCGGTCTGGATGGACTTTCAGCGACACTTTGTAGTAGCTCCTCCGGATCTCAGCCTCTGTCGCCTCTTTGTTGATTCCCAGAACCTCATACAAGTTTGAGGTCTTAAAAAGCTCCTGGCAACGCTCGAGCAGACCCATCCTGACAGCGGACCAGGTGCCTCAGTCTGAGCTTTGACAGGAAAACAATTTCGTCCTAAGACTCTCCGCGACGTGTACTGGGTAGTTTTGTGGCTAGCTAAGCATTCATTTGTTTTCTGTTGTCGGTAACATCAATTTGGCGCGCTAGCCTGTCACAGAGACCACTGCGTGCATCGACGCGCTTGCGTAACGTACAGAAACGTCTTCTGATTGGATCTCGTGACCGACATTATCAGAATGTGTAATGAGGCCTTTCATGACTTCTTTTTCACACAAAACTTGCGCACTTTTACACAAGAGATAACACAAGATTTATCCTTTGGGGGAAAGATAGTTTTGAACAACTTTTAAAAACTTTTTTTCTTTACTTATTTCCAATAGGTCTTTCAGATAGTATTTATAGTGTGTATACATGTACTTAACATCTTCAATGTGTTGCCAGTATGTTATAAACTATAAATGTTAATACATTTTTACACGATACATGTTTGGTGTTAAAACAGTACAACTAAAGTACCCTTAATCTTGCAGTCCCCAACTCAGTTAAATGAATACATAGATAGGACCAGTTGGAATGTAACTCAAATACTTTACTCAAGTTTAATGTATTTTATCTGTTACTTTTAACTATTATTGCACTCTGTACTCCACACATTAAAGCTTTCATTATTTATTATTTTTTAGATTAAATGCATATAAGGCTTCTTCTTCCTTCAGCTGTGGTGACCCTCATTTCCTAGCACCAACCCTTTCCATGTTCTCCTTCACTACATCCATAAATCTCTGCTGACTTCTTCTTTTCTTTTTGCATGGCAGATGCATATTCAAGATCCTTTACTTAATAATGTAATAATACAAGTGATTAAAATCATTAACAATACAATGTTTAAGAGATATACACATCAATAAATCACTAATTGAGTCATTCCTACTATTCGGTGCCATTTCAGTGTGATCACTCTTCATCAAAAAATACAAAATTTTGAATTATTTTAACATTTCATCTAAAAGAGGGATTTTCAACCTATAAGAAAAATGTATTGGTCCAGCTAAGGATATTATATTATAATATTTTTTAAAATCAAAGTCTTTACCCATGACGTGCCAAATGTCCACCCTGTTACAGGACATTCAATTTTCTATTAATAACTGTTTTGAATACACAGTTATAGTAATATTTACATTTTCTAAAAGCTACAATGTCCCTTTTTAAAATCTGCAAGGAAATTTCATGTTACAGTGCATAGCAATAACAGGGGTGACGGTAACAGGGGGGAGATTTTATGCTAAACTTAGCCATTACTACTAGTATGATGAACAACAAGCTAGTACATGGTGACCACTAAGAACCATTTTTAACATGTTTATTAGCCATATTATAAAAATTACAAAAAAAAAATTGTTTCCATTATTAATAAGCGTAACAGGTTGGACGTGTTATGCTTTGCCACATTACAAAATCTTGCTAAAACATTGAAAAAAGGGTTGATTACAGAGTGGTACTTACTCGTCTTCTTCTTGAAAGTTTTCCCTCCAAAATATGTTACATCGGGAGTGTCATGTGACTAAAAGAATAATCAGGTGATGTGTTCTATGGAATTCTTATCAGAGTAACAGGGGTGACAGTTGATTCAGGGACACAACATTTTTTAAAGATTTTAAGTATTAAACATGGCTTAATAATAAAAAAGAACATTTGATGAGGAACATTAGAAATAAGCCAATCCAGAATTTTTTTAAGTTATATTTGTAACTGAAGTCGAGCAAGCATGACTGGGGACATAGTACTTTAGTGACTTGTGCTAAAATAAAAGTAATGTACTTTTAATGTATTTATCCTGTGTATATATCAATGTGTTCTATGGTAGAGGGGGGTTAAACATACAAGAAAATGGTTTAGAAATAAGCATTAGACAAGTTTTACACTAAATATACCATATTATGTCATTAGGACTCAAATGGCACCGAATAGTAAGAATGACCCAATTATGATTCAGTAATATCATGTTTATGATTATGCAAAGTGTTAAATACTTTAAACTGCCAGCTATGCAACAACAGCTGGTTATAAGCTAACGCTATGTCAGCTAATGTTAGGTTTGAGTGTCTTAAAAGTCACGCTTTTCCTCTTATTAAAGGTTTGATTTTACTCTCACATTGTGTTTGATCTGTTTCAAAGAAATTTTCACTAACACCGGCTAATAGCAGCTAACAAGAGCCAACAGCAGCTAACAGCAGCTCAGTGGCAAAAATGCAACAGTGTTTACCTACAGAAAAGTTGATATTCTCAACAACTCATCTCAGTATCGCTGTCATCTTTATTTAGCAGGTGTTGAACCTGTACAGCTTATGGGTGGAGCTTGATTACCAAGCTTGCTAGCCTTATTGCTAGCTAATAATTTAAATCCATCCTCTCATTCAAATATGATCACAGCATGATCAAATGCTAAGATTGAGGTTAACGGGTGATGCTGCAGACAAATTATTGTGTAATGATGTTAACGCTGCTGTGTCTGAAGTGATAATGCCATATATAAATGACCCCTTTTAATTTTTTTTTTAAATATTATTTTCTCCTGAAAAAAATCTATCAGCAGATTAAAGTCTATGTAAAATACATTTTTTTATACTTCAACCTTACTTTGAATCTATTAACCAAAATAAATCATAAATCTCCCCTTAATTAAATGCCACAGATTAGTGTGGCCTTGAGCAACCCAACAGACTTAATTTCTCATGATAAAAGCTGAAGCGTTAAATTTAGAATTTCACAAAATAGTGCAAATACATGCATCAGTCAGGCAGAACCATACGGATACCCAAGTATTTATTAATGAGTTTGAAGCAGCACAAGAATACATCAAAGACAATGAGGCAAGTCACTAAGTATTTTCACTGCTTCATGCGAAAGCAGAACACAAAGATACACACTGACTTTGAACGTAGCATCTGTAGATTGCACCCATCTGTGTTTATAAGCCTGTACAATATGCAGCACTGGAGATATATACTACAACCCCCGCATCTCAGATGTGATCTAATTATTGCCCCATCTGCTTCTGTTGCATATTTGGCACAGACTCTGTTGTTGTTTTTGTCTTGACTTTTGTCATCACAAACCTCATCCGTTCTTTGTATTCTGACACAAAATAAGCACTTGGACAACTGGCACATTATTATTATGATCAACAATGGAAAAAATGACAAAAGCACAGGAACTGTATTGTAAATGTTATGAACTTTTGCTGGTGTGCAGATCCTTCTCATATGCTTTCTATCCACTTGCACAGATCGTGTAAGTGGAGATCTTGAATGTAACCATTGCTCCTCCAGAGGGAATATTTCCTTGTTATGGTAACAGTCTCTCTACAACAGTCAAATGGCTTCGTTCTCTTGGACAGTCTTTATAGCATGCCCATGGCTGATGCATTTGTCCCTTAACTGGGACAGTTTAAAAACCTCCTGTAGGGGGCAGCAGCTCAGCATTCCTTTCTAGTCTTCACCATCTTGCTGGTGTACTTGATAGGGATCCCCCAGCGTCTCATTAGATAGACATCAAACACATAGGCCATTCCTGGCTCCAGGCCCCCAATCACAGCTGTAGTGACGGCCCGCCGAGGATTCAGCTCTTGGAAATACTTGCAGAGAACTCTCTCGGTGTCAGAGCGGGACTCTGGCCCCAGACAGGGTGCAGTTAGAGCTGATGCTCCGCCAGCTTCTGCTTCATGGCTTCCAAGCTTTCTGCGGTACACACAGTAAAGGCTTCTTTCTTCTGTTCCCATCCATGCTAGGGTGACACTACTGCAACCACGCAATCGGTTGAAGGATTTTATCTGTAAGGTGGAGGGCAGAGATGGGACTCCTCTGCGGTGGTAAGCTGATGAGGTCTGCATTTTGACTGAAGCTGTCAGACCTTCTGGTAGCGATGGGTCTGTAACAGCAGAGGTGTGGTCCATGGCGGTTCCTTCTCTCTCCAGGTGGATGAGATAGGAAGTACTTCCCTGGAGCCATATGTGCGCTAATTCTCGCCCAGCAGCCTGAGAGGTCAAGACCTGACCTTTACTAGATACAGTCACCTTGACCTTTTCACCTTCCCCACAGCTCTGCAAGGTGAGGAGGCCACTCTGTTGCCAACCCCGAGGACGGAAACTGAAGAACTGCTCCGAGCTGAAGCCTCTGTCTTGGAAAGTCACCCACCTCAGCTCTCCTTCTCTAAGGGCGGTAATAGCAGGTCGAGCCTCCTCATGTGTCCGAGCAAGTGTCCCCTTGTATGCCATGCTGGTCCCATTCAGCCTGTCGACCACAAAGACATCAAAGTAATACTGGGTCTCAGGCAGGAGCTCTGAGACAGTGCAAACACTTTCTGTCCCCTGACACACACATTGGAGGTCTTCATACTCATCAGTGAGGGAAGCTGGTGGACTTTGAGGACTTTCAGGATAAGTGTCCCACTGCTGCCACCACCACTCTTTCAAAATGGGCCAGACCGTCACCCTGCTCCGTCTGTCCTTCTTTTCTTGTTTTTGGTCTTTCTCTTTCCTCATACTCTTCTGTGCAGCACAAAGGCTGGGGTAGTTTTCCTGTGAGTTGACAAGGACACAGTATTCATAACTGGTCTGTGTATGTGGGAGGCTCGTTATGGAGGCACTGGGTGCCCAGCTGAGGGTGACGCTGGTCATGCCTACACCTAATGTGTGAACTTGCGGGTCAGCTGGGAGCAGAGGGAAGATGCCTGAAGGCCCCAGGCCTTCATGAAGATACACTGTAGCTCTGGTGTTCTGCTGTTTGGAGCGTAGCCTTAGGATGTAGATGGAAGCGCTTGGATAGGTTGGACCACTGTAGCTTTCCACTGTATTGCCAGTATTGCTGTGTATTTTCTCCTCTGTCCCAGGACCTCGCCACCACACCTCAGGCATGCTTTTTTTAGTACTCCCTGTGAGCAAAGAAGAAAAAAGAAAGCTAGCCACAATAGATCATAATGACACACTTGAATATGTTTTGCTTATTCTTACTTCACTTGTGCATTTGACCATCACTTTGGACAATGACAACGTTTGATACTAGAAGATTGTTTTCACATTCATTCAGTGAAGGATAAATGTTTTGCTGCACACAGTTAGAGTTAGTCAGAGTGAAGCAGGACTTGAATTGCATCTGGTAGTTTTTGCACATCTGGTAGTATTTGTACATTCTCAGATTTGGGATTTTTAAATCAGGAAGAATAATTAGACATGATTTTCAGACAAACATTATTATCTAAAGTAGCATAATTCTTATATGCGTAACCCTGGTGTCTTGTTTCAGTACTGTTCTCCAGTTTCCCTGAGCTATAGATGAATGGTGGGTTATAGGTTTTCTTAAAAGTATTCTCCATAATAAACAGTGTGAACTTTATATCCTGACATACACACCAGCAGATAGGAGCTAACGTTTTTTCAAGGGGTGATAATAAATAACTTAAATGTTACACATAAAATTATAAAGTGCCCTAAATGAAGCAATTAATGTTATAATAAACTTTATCCTGCAAAGTCATAAAATAATATTGCACAACTTAATATGCAATATAAATCAATGTTAGAATCTGCACAAATTAGATGTGGCCAACAATAAATACAAATGCAATAACTCAGATTATATATCAAAACATGCTTGAAGGAGACCTTATAAAGTTTGGATTATCTCATATTAGGTTCTTTACAGTGTTAAAGAAATAAAGCTGTCATTGCGTAAGAAATGCTTATTACTTTCATGCTCTGAATTGGATAAGATGCATGCCACACTCTGTATGGAGTTTGCTTAATGTAGCCTCCTTGAAGTCAGTGCACTCATACAATTAGTGCAATTACATAATTAATTACACAAAAACACCACGTTATTAGAAGTCTGTTTTTGTACAGATTAGATAAACAGCATATAATATGGGGGGCAGCTGTGGCTCAGGAGATAGAACGGGTTGTCTACCAACTGGACGGTCAGTGGTTTGTTTTCAGCTCCACCAGTCTGCGTGCCTGACTTTGGGCCCTAAGAAAGGCACCCTAATGATCCCAGTGCATTCATTAGAGTGTGAGTGTGAGACATGTTGCTTAGGTATAGATTAATGTCTATGTAAATGGATAAATGAGGACTGGACTAAAAAGCCCTTTGAGTGCTCAGTTAGAGTAGAAAAGAACTATATAAGTCCATTTACCATTTACCACATGGCCATAAGGGTAGACTCTTACTACAAATGAATGAAACACATGCAGGCTTTCTTTGTGTTAGCCAACTTGATAAAACATAACACAACAACAGCGCTTTTCACCTTTCTTCTTGCAAATAAGACAAGAGATTAATACTGCAGAAAATTAATTACTCTTAGATTTAATGCACAGAGCACTAAAAATAAACATTTTAAGTCAGTTTAATTATTTTAATACTGTTGTTTACAACGTCACAGCAGCACATTAGATATCTGAAACTTTAAATGTGATATATTAGAGGTTACTGTCCTGTAACGGAAAAAAAAGAGGCATGGAAATCGCTTTAATCTGTTGCCAAATCAAAATTAAATCCGTTTTATTAATTGTGTGGGTATTCTGGGTAATACACACGTTAATTAATTTTCTAATCTATCCTGTAGTAATTGCAATTCCAGCAGTGTAAAACAGAAATAGTAGCATATTAAGAGAAAGTTGGCAATAAAAAAAGAACAACAACATTCTGTATCACCACCTAATGACTTGGTTTTTAGTAAGGTATAGCTTAACAAAATGCATACATAAAATGTATTCCTGCTTCAGATAATCTATATTGCACTTAAAAATATGCTTTGAATAAAAGAATCAATGAAAACATGGCGCTTCCAGCTGACTTCAAACAGAAAATCTGAACATAACCTGCTCAAAACCAAAGGTATTCAGCTTAAGTTACCATGGTGATTTGGTAAGTTACCATAGTGACACAGAAAGCTTTGACTTTTAGCTCAACGTAGCTTGCTAACCCAATGACTGTAGAAAACAGTCATTGAGCTAACCCGTTAATTTCAATTCATAGCAGATCCCCCTGGCTAGCTCCTATGCTAAGCTAATCACCACTGGTTTCATATTATCTTCCTCTTTTACTGCTGGCAGTACGTAAATAAGTATGTTTACCAAAATTAAATTCTTTATTTGGTGTTTTTGAGTTGCTTTCCCATAAAGTAGTAATGTAATGTGTTTTTAGCAATGCCACAAGAGTTGAAATTTAAGAAATTAGCTATAGCGAGTAGGCTAATGCTAAATTAGAAATTTAATTTACTGGTTAATAAATCATGTTATGTTTCACCAAAGTGTAAGCAGTGGACACAATTTTTATACTATTTAGGTGTCGCTGTTTTAAAAAAAATATAGTACATGTTATTAAACCAAAAGCGTTATGTTTGTACATTATAACAATTGATCACACTGAACCTCGCTGACAGAGAAAATCCTAAGCCCCTTGTAAATGAACAAACAAATATATATCTAAAATGTCAATTGCCACTTCAAAAATGGTTGGCAGTATTTTCATTCAGCACCTAAAGTGTTTTCATTCTGAAGTACAGACTCTTCACTTAAATGACACTACTGCCAGATAAACACAGACAAAAAATAAATAAATCACCAATTGTTTTCACTGTTCATGTCTCCTAGAGATGAAAAATGAGACCAAATGTTACCGAATCAAAGTGAATTATTCAGGCTGGCAATGGGGACCCATGAGCTCAGGGTCTGAATGATTCATGTGTCATTTTATAACATAATGTTATTTTAGCATGTGGAGAAGCTTGTTTAAGTAACCTGGAAAAATACTCTTGGAAAACACTGAGGCCTGTTTCCTTTCCCAGAAATCTCTGCCTTTTTAGGACTGAAATGCGATTACTTCTGTTTCCTCTGAGCACTGATTGCCTGTCTTTAATTCTAAGCCTTTGTGCCAGAATATATTTAATCCTTTGAGTTTATTTAATTGCTTTGGTTTGCAAGAAACAGATTGTTACAGAGTGCAGTTTTAGTTTGTTGTTTTATTCAATATTTGAACAGGGAGTTGGCAGAGCTTTTTGGTGTGTGTGTTTTATGAAATGAAAAGCCTCAGATAAAATTTATCACCAGGTGACACACAGATATGATCACACTCGCTGTCTCTGTCCTTGTCAAAGACATTGGGTGGCATTTAGAAAAAAATATATGCGTTTTACAGTGCTTTGAACTTCAACAAATGGGTACAATGTGCTGATAAGATGTAGGACTGTTAAATTTGTGGACTTTTCATAACACGGAAACACACTCAGGCTTCAACAGTGAAATTATTGTTTGACAGAAATCAGTTTGTTGGCCTATAAATTTGCGTAACAGTTGCAGTAAAAGCATGACCTTGAAGTTACAAATAATGAAAACACAAAGCAAGAATGTACCTTTTTACCTTATGCTACTAATTCTGGTCACATATCTGGTTTAAAAGTCTCATCTACACATTGGAGCTTAAGTAAGATTAGACTGTTTGCCCTTCACTAAATCCCTACATATTATATGGCAATGATAATCTCTAATCAATGTCCTTGGCTAAGCCAGATGTAGTGAGGTCTTCAGGTTAAGTGGGTATCAAAAGGTGCAGCTTGTGGTCTTACTGTCCACTCACATTGCAGGTTTTTGAGGGGTTTGTCCTTCAGGGTGCGAGCAGTCAAGGTCCATTCAATGGGAAGGTCACAAGGACTGACTGTCACCGACATCCCCGGAGCTTTCTTTTTCAGCGTGAAGTATAACCTGTGGAGAAACACCAAAGAGAACCAACTTGCTTTTTCACCAGGGATGGCAGAAAGATAGCATCCTGCTTCTGTTCAGCTGCAAGGTGATGGACGAGAAGACAAGATATTGTTCGGTGCCCATTCTTTCATTTTGTTGGATGATTTTTAGATAAGGTGGGGCGGTTATAATTTCATTTACTAAAGTTTGACGAGTTACAGCCGTTTCAGACATTTGCCAGTTGCTGTGTTTCCATTTGCCTACACGCTGATCAGTCATTTGATAGTAGATCAGGAGAGGTGACCTCAGAATCAGATGATAAGGCTGCACTGACGGCTTCAGATGGATATCTGTCTGCTTGATGTAACCATTTCAGCTCGTGCTTAGCATAGAAACTATAAGGACATGGTTGTGCTGTTGCATGTTGGATGTCAGATTTGCATATTATATGGCAGTTGAATTGCTGTTGAAGGGCATTTTAACGCTTATTCTGTGGTGGCCTATTAAACTCTTTATTGCTTAGCAAAGACGACTGAATAGAAGAAGTCTTTAACATTTCTTTACATTTAGTCGTGCTACGTGAAAATGTATTAACAGCATAATTATTTCCTACCACACAAACACGTTTATTCATTATTCTGCACAGATGGTGATTGTTTCCAAACAGATGTGCAGCACTCTTTCTCAAGGGCACTTTGTGGATTATTTAATAGAGTGATTAATTTCTGAATCAGTGTTTTCTCTCCATTATTTGCCGTGTGGTCCTGCTTGACTGCACTGGTGGACAGACTGCAGCTCACGGGGAGATGCATGTCGCAATTTTCTGCTCCCGCTTTCAGAAAGCAACTGGCACTGTTGTGTAGGGTTCAAGCCAAATGGGCTCCACTTCCTCTTGCTCTCTCTACAGCGCTGCTGGAATCAGCCTCTGTCTTTACGAAAGGTGGATAGGGAATGGGTGGTGATATGTTACTGTTTCCGACCTCACTGAGCAGACCTCCGTTTTTAATCGTGGGTCTTAAATGAAATGCAAATGAGGAAAAACGTCAAGCAGGGACAGCATCTAGTTTCACGTGAATTCAGCTGTTACACAAGTGCTGAGATTATCATGGACTTGTTTGGATTAGAAACACATGAATTACCTGACTGTTTAAAATGGTACTTTAAGTTCATTTCAAGTCTAATCATTAGACAAAAATATTAAGTGTATGCATTAAGGAAATGATATAGTTTTGACAAGGAATTCATTATGTGGTGCTTGCTGATTTATTTCAGCTTCATGTCATCATGGGGTGAATATATTTTTAATCTTTTGAATAGATTTTAATTTTAATCCTAATCTCAATTTATCTTAATCGTGATTGGTGCCTTTTTTTTTGTTTGGTGATTCACTCACCTGTCACTTCTTAGCAATTACCTAGTCTGCTCTGCTTAGTTCGAAACTGCTTTCAACCCACTTCATTCATTAGGCACAGTTTATTTGGTACACATATTAATGTACTGATAATTCAGCATAAAGTATGCTGAAAAATTGATATTTTTTTAAAAGATAGGAGCACCTTTTTCACCTCTTATGACACCACATCATTAAATATAATGAAAACAATCTTGCTATGCTCTCAGTGGAAACAAGCTATCAACCACATGGATGCTTTCCATCTGTTACCTGCGAGTTCGTCCTTTAGGTAGGGTTACAGAGGTGATCTTTCCTTCTGGTAACCACGTAGTTGGGCGAAGTGGCACCTCATTCTCAGGTGCCACACCTGAGTGCACCTGGGGCCACAAAGATCCACATACCAGTGCCAAAGCTGCACCAAGACACCAAGACAGCGCCATAGTGGATTCACACTCTCTTATGCCTTTTAGTCTTCGTCCCTACGTCCTGGATGGCTCCCGGGCTCTGAAAATGCACAGTGGAAAGGTCAAGACCATCAATCAGAGCCCATCAGCAACGCACACACAAACACACACACGCAGACTTAGTTAAATTTCTACTGTACCATTCAGGCAGACACTAAAGAGCTGTAGCGGCTGATGATTCATTGATATGAAGAAACATCCTATCCTATTCAGACAGAATTATTCATACCAGGGAAAAGAAATTGCCATGCTATATTACTCTGGGATGTGTGTGTAGCACAGCTTGACACTCACTGTAAAAAATCACCCATCGCACCACTTTTCAAAGTGTGAAGTGGGTTGCTAATATCACTCTGAAGTCGCTGCCTTTATATCTACATTTCTATTTTTAGTTTGAGGGTTTGAATGGGTCTGTTCTCGAAATATCTTTGATTATGATTATTAGGGGACTTATCTTGAGAAAACGATGCCGTGCTGATGCAGAGACGAGTGTGCAAACAACACCTGGAGGTGCTCTGATGCAGTCAAATCCATTCAGCATAGATTAATGCAATGCCTAAACCAGAAGAACTGGTATCAGATTTTTCAGGCTTTCTTTCTGTCTTTTCCCCCCGTTTTTTAAATTTTTTTATTTCTCTCGCACTCTGTTAGTGTTTCACAGTCCTTTTATCTGTACATTTATATGTGGGCGTGCTCCTGTGTGCATGCGGTTGTGATTTAGTGATAGTAGATGATTACAGGTCTGACTGTTTTCTTTCTCTCCTGAGAAAACACATTTGTTCAAAGTCACACAGCCTTCGCCAACACACTCCCCGCCTTCCCCTAACAAGGTGTATTATGTCAGTGCTGTGCCCCATAGATCAGATGACAGCAGCAGTGGAACCACGGAGGCAGCTACAGAAGGTACATCTGAGTCTTTTGGGCCCCGGGACGCTCCGAGATTCAAACTCACAGATCGTCGCGCAGCTACAAAGTCACACAGAGGCGCCTGCTCATTATCCTTGCAAAGAAAGAGGGGAGTGAACGACCCATAAAGCTTTAACTGAGAGGCATGCAGAGGGAGAAAAACTGATTGAAATGAGAGGGAAGAGAGGAAGGGAGGGCTGTGGAAATGGAGAGCGAGAAGAGGAGGATGTTGGATCCTAGAGTAATTAGAGGGAAGAAGATGGAGAGAGGAGAGAGGAGAAAGTGAAACTAGAAAAGAGATGGTTAGAATCAAAAGAGAAAAACATTCTAGTCAGGCAACAAGGTCGCAATGGATTTCTCTCTGTGCTTCAGTCAGACATATGAAGCTGATTGGTGTTTACTTTAGCTCCCATGTCAAATGCCCAGTGTGGCACATATTAGCAGATGGCTGCACAACCTCACAGCCCCTCTCACACGTCCCCTCATTCAATCTTGATAAAGATGAAGACACAAAAAAGCTTGGCGGGCTTGTTTCTTCAAAACGCACCCGCTGATAAAATATGCATACGGCTCCTCAGCAAATTATGGCCAATTGAATTTTCATAAGGCGAAAAGGCTGGGTCTTAGAGCGAGAGGGAGCTTAGTGAACTTAACTACCACCCTCAATAAATAAATACACAGGAGCTCATGACTTTGATGGTCCTGCTCACTCTCTGCTCTTTTTTTGTGTGGTTATTTTTGTTTATACGAGTTTCCTCTTTCCATTATGTTTATCCCAGACTGTCAACTGACTGCATTTATTCTGGATACTGCTTGAGTTTTAATTAAAGATACTTGAGTTCGGCTCTGTTTATCTTTTTCTTCCTCTTTATGCTTTTCTTTTTCTGTCTGTTTTTCCACTTCATTTGTTCCCCTTATTTAGAAGTTGATGCAGGATCAGTTTCAGGGGGACAGGTTGAGTTTTGTGTGCTATCTGTCTGCACATTGTATTAGCTATCTTCTGTCTCCCTGGGCTCTGGCAGGACCATCTGCCTTCTGTTATCTGTGGGCAGGGACAGATTAAATGGCATGGGGTGGTCCCTGCAGGATCCGTTGTCCCCCCCAAACTACTACGAGCAAAGAACTGGCCTGTGATTCATGGTGGGGGTTGATGAAATGATGGAAGGGTAACATGCAATTACCATGCAACTTGATAGGATTTTACGGTTCACTTTCTAACTCGATGCACGTACTTTTGAATATATAAACCTTCCCTCGTTTTCCTCACTTTCACTCTCCTTTTGCGCCTGCACCTCTCACGCCGCTTGTCGTTCACACACTTTTATATAGTATCACACTCTTTCTTTAGTTTATGGCTCTTCATTCGCTGTGTTCACTGCCCCACTTCATAGTCACACTAGTGTATTTGTAAATAATTTAAAAAAACTACTAGTTGTCAAAAAGAAAAGAGAGATGACCCCAACCTTCAAACGTGCAAAAGCAGTCATAAGACGTACTAAAAGTGCTTTACATCTGTCTCAGCTTTATTAACAACCCTCCAGAGACCCCACACACACACACACACACACACACACACACACACACACACACACACACACACACACACACACA